GTCATTGCCTAGTGGGTAAAAGATGGAAAGGATTAGGGATGGAGCCCCTGAGAGTTGGCATAAGGCAATAATATAAGGACATGCATGTCCAGAGAGGTGGGAACGAGGATATATGTGTTCAGTGAGATGAGCTCAGAGCTATTCCACCAAATCCCCAAAACCTAGGGGACATATGTCAAGGTTATCAGGTGAATACCTGTGGGTATAGAATTACCAGAGCCATCGGGTGTTTCTGTCACAAATCCTCTGTCACTGAGGTGAACAGCTGCTGGCTTGTGTCCAACTCATGTAGCACCAGGTAATAATTGCAGGACGGAAAATTTCCTCACATTAAGGTGCCACTACCTGCTCCAACTTTGTGACCAGGGTATGGCTCTAAGTGACAACAGCATTCAGGGGATAGAGGTTGGTGGCTGGAAACAGGACTTATCTACCGAACCTATCAGTCACAGGACCCATCTGTGACGTGCTTGCAAGTGAGGCATGCCAAGACCAGGGAAGACACTCCTCATTGTTTCTGGGCCTCACCAGCTTCCCGGGCAGCACAACTGAAAAATTCACGACAGAATCCTTGTCAAGGCAGGAATGGGGCAGCATCATGCTGCTCAGGGAAGAAGAGGCCAGAGCCCTGGGAAAGCTGGTTCTTATTCAGAATATTTTCAGGATTATTTGAGCTAAGCCTATCTGGGGAGGTCTGAAATTGTCCACTCCCCTCTCCTACATTCCCTTGACATCATCCTGTTCATCGTCCTGTGCACAACTGGAATGGGTTAGGTGTTGGGTACAGGTACATTGCTAATGTTTTTCTGAGTTCTCCTGAGTGAGAAGAAAATGGTTCTCCTTTTATATGGGTCTCTGAGCATGCACCTGGCTCCTGGTTCTCCTCCATCTATCCCCGGTGCAAGCCCAGAACGTTCTCCACTCAATGATTTGCTACAGTTGAGGTTTCTCAAGCTGATGCCTGTATCAATGGGGGAATGAAGAGTTGCTATTTAATGTCTCACATTTCACTGGCCACTCACAACATCTGCAAACTAGATTCTGGTTGCTGGGATGAAGCCACACATTTCCTTTAAACTTAACTCCTTGGATAGCATTAAGCCCTGATTTAAAAGCAAGCCAACCCCAGCAATCCCTAGTGCTGCCTGCTGGCCAATGGTTCCGAGCCATCAGGCTCAGGCCTTCCATTCATGGGTCAGAAATACTGGGGGCATATCTACACTGTCCTCAGTAGAATCAGGGCTAATAATGGACAGTGTTTGTGAGGCATTGGGGGAAATCCGTCTCAGCGCCATCTATTTCTACTGTCTTGCCAGAGCCCCGCCTGCAGTTTGGCTGTAGTTTGTTCCCACAAAAACTGGTGTTGAGAATTGGTCCTCAATGCCGCAGTGTTGCAATTTTGAGCCACATGGGAGTTGTTTGGGTCATGGTGTGGGATTCTTCCTGGAAGATTAATGCCAGGAGTCAGTTCTCTCTCTCGGGGATCTGGATTAGTTACTATAAAAGCAAGCTGGTATAAAGTGAGGGTCTTGCTCACTGTGGCTCTCCCTGCACAGGCCTGCTCATTCTTCCATTTCTCTTCCAGGTTGTGACAGCACGAAGCCTTCAAAAGAAGCCCAGCAGGTGCTGATGCCCTCTTGGGCTTTCCAGCCTCCAAAACTGTAAGCCAAATAAACCTTTTTTCTTTAAAAATTTCCCAGCCTCAGGTATTCTGCTGCAGCAGCAGAAGACAGACTAAGGTAGCCCTCTCCCCCTTACACAAATACATACTTCCCAGCTCTCGTTTGGCAAAATCACTATTTTTCTGTTTGCATTTAATCACCCTTTGTTGGAATTCACTTGGGATGGCTGGCAAAATATTAGGGAAAGTTAGAAGATTATAGCCTCAAACATTTTGGAAGGCTGAAAGGTTTAATGGAACAAGCTGAAGGCATCCAGTTCTTAGGTTAGAGTATTAAGTCATAGGGTGAAGAGATTTAGGGACAATAAAAGCTTCCCCAGTTAAGTCTGTTTACCCCACATGCCTTTGTTTCTACTCTGTTTACTCATGTAAACTTTGTGCTGATGGTCCTCTTGGGGGAGGTCGAAGTACCCATTAATGGTGTTTACTCTGGGCCCTGGAACCAAAAGCTTTTATTATTCGTAAAACCACTCTTTAAACCATGTTAATTTTCCACAAGTATGTTGACTTAGAACCTCTGTTATTAGAGCTGTACTGAATAAATGTGAGGAGGTACAGGGAGTTGTGGTCAGTTAGCTGCCATCACCCTCTGAAAGCAATTGATGACCATTCCTAGTCCACTGAAAATCACTGTAGTGGGTGTGAGAGTACCTTCACTTGTCTGTCACTGAGTCAGGTCTGTAGGACGGACCTCCACAGGTGGTGATCAATGATGTCTCAACCTTTGAAAGTTTTTAAGTTTTTGGCCAGACTGTAGAATGAGCAGAATCTGTTGACACAGAGAAAACGTTTGTTATATGGCCTCCTGTCATGCATTGCTAACCAGGTTTTGTGCCGGTTTTAGAGATATCAAGCAGTTTTGTCCTCAATCTATAAATTATCTTATCTTCTTCTGAGATTTTCTAAAAAATTATAGCCTGGCTCCTATGGAAAGAAAGTATTCTATAGAGCTAAAAGAGACCTTATCTTTCATTTTTATTTTATGATAATGACAGAATATTTCAAATATATTGAAAATAAACATGAGATACCCAACATTACACTGAAATAATGCCAACATTTTATTTTTGTCTGTTAATACTTTTTATTCAAAGCCTATTTAAAAACTAAACACCTATGGAAAAGTTTAGAGAACAATAAAAACAAACAATCTTAAAATGTACCTTTATATCTTTCTGTATATCTTTTTTTGTTTTTGAGACGGAGTTTCGCTCTTGTTACCCAGGCTGGAGTGCAATGGCGCAATCTCGGCTCACCGCAACCTCCACCTCCTGGGTTCAGGCAATTCTCCTGCCTCAGCCTCCTGAGTAGCTGGGATTACAGGCACGCGCCACCGTGCCCAGCTAATTTTTTGTATTTTTAGTAGAGACGGGGTTTCACCATGTTGACCAGGATGGTCTCGATCTCTCGACCACGTGATCCACCCGCCTCAGCCTCCCAAAGTGCTGGGATTACAGGCTTGAGCCACCGTGTCCGGCCACTTATTTAAAATTTATACTGCTTTTGTTGATGGCTCATTTTGGCTGCGTATCCTCACTTATGTACTGATTTCTGATAAAAGCTTGACATTAGAACAGGCATTTTGTGCTCCAATTTAATAAAATGGTTTCTGAGTCTTGTCTAAAAAAAAAAAAAAAAAAAAAACACAATGCCACAGAATATTTTTAAGGGCCAGGATTGGAATGAGCTGACATCATTTTATCCCACTCTTCAGAACCTGGTGACATATTTCCAACCCTCCAACTGCAAGGCAGACCAGGAACGATGGAGGAGCTACAGGTGTTCGGTGACCCGCAGTGTTCTCTGTCACACTGATTTTCAATTATTTGTATGCCTTCCTCATCCCTTTCCCAGGCTGCAGCTTAACTTTTTTTATGCTGTGTTTTGACTTGCAACAATTTAATGTAACAATATTCATAGTGGTACGAATATTGTTCTTTTGGCTTTTTTTTTTTTGTCTCCTCTAAAAAACTCATCCCTCAAATGAATGCTAAAATTATTTTTCTTAAATTTTCTAAAGACTTGTGTTTTGTTTTTTGCTTTTTACAATTGAGAGCAAATGTGCCTGAAATACACTTTGATTTAAGAAATGAAGTAGAGATGTGGTACTAAGTGGGTGGTACGTATGCTCAGTGCAGAAGAAAGAATTATATAAACAACCCCAAGGGCGGAAAACAACTGACACATAGGAAGAAATACCTGAAAATAGGGGAGTGTGGCTGGAGCAGAGAGCCAGGGAAAACTTAGTGCAAAATGATGATAGAGAGGTAGGTCAATGGTTAATGGTATAGGATTTGGTGGGTTCTATTGCCCTTAGAAGAAAGCCCCCCCACCCACCAGCCCAGGAGCAGAGACCATACAGGCAAAGATTTATGATTGTGAGTTGAAGGGTAATAGAAAGTAAGGGAAAGTGTAGATGGAAAGATCACCCAGCCCTTAGGGGAGAGAAGAGTATGGTGGGTTTGAAATGTCAAGGAAATTAGGAATCTCAAAGATGCCTTTTTCATTTTACAAATGGAAATAGGGAACTGCAGAAGCTAAGGGTGTTGGGATGACCTCCAGTTCCTATGACTTTGTTTGAACAAAGCATTCCTTACCTAAATCACAGCCACTGTGATAGAGGCTACGATTAGAAGGAGGTAGGTAGTTCACAAGTGCCTCTAAAACTCACTGCTAGGAAGGACTTCATGCAGGCTTGGGCTGCAGTTACAACAGGAATAGTCTCTTCCCTGGGCTTCATGGGCATAATGTTAAAAAAAAAAAAAAGGAGAGAAGAAGAACAATTCCAAACCACTTGGAATCATCCCTAAGCCCTTGCCTAAGACTGGGGTAGGAATGGCACTGAACACCAAGGGTCACATGGCCCCTGCTCTGCGGCCCCCAGGCTGACCAGGGCTCTCTGACTCCGAGGAAGGCTGGGACGTGAGAGCACAGGCAACTTCAATCATTCTAACTGCCCTTTATGAGCAGAGAGGAGGCAGCTGTGCAACACTGTGGAGTCACTGCTGGCGCAGAAATATACAGATGTCTGGGAGGAGAGAGCAGACTCCAGAGTGAGGGGGAAATCCTCTGGGTTTGATCTAGAGACAACGTAGCCATCAGGGACTTCTCCTTTGTTAATATCTTCAACACCATATGAGTAATGGATCAGCCTCAGCCCTTGCCCCAGGTCTTGTCGATACCAGTACATATAGTCGTGGTTCCAAGACTGGTGACACTTCAAGGTCACCGGCCTTCCTGTCTCTGTGATCTTGTGTCTTGGGCTCTGAATGATTTCAGCATCCCCGTGTCCTATAATAGAGAACAACAGACACTGATGTTGTCATCCCAACAGAAAAGCTTGCATGGAAGCCTTGGGAATTCCAGGGAAGGAGGCCCTCCTGTGACCAGCCCTCACCTGCCCACAGCAGACAAAGGGCCACATAGAAGAAGAGCCTGGTGCCCATTTCAGCTCCAGGGCAGGATCTTGTGTCTTCCAGCCCTGCTGTGGGCAAATTGAAGTTGGGATCTCAGTGACTGGATGATGTCACTGGCCCTGCTAAGTGGGTGAACTGCAGGGCTAACCCGTCACGCCCCTTCTCCTCACAGAACAAATCATGTATAATAGAGTTGAATAATTTTTAGGTCTGTTTTGAAAGAAATCTTATAAACTCATGAGCTCTTTCCATGATTTTAGTAGGGGAATTTGTTCTTCTATGTATATTTATTTCTATCATGAGAAATTCTTTATTTGAATACTACTTTCAGTTTTGTGAATGTTTCTGTAGTCTGAAGAACATTGTCATAGCAGTCCTGGTGTCTTTTATGACTTCCCTGCCCGAAATTCAACTCCAAGTTGAATTATTTTCCTCTTTGTTTAACCTCTGGATACTCGTATTCAGCCTACAGGGATACCCTTCGTTAAAAGGGTCACCTGACATCCAGAAAGGTTTCCAAGTTTCAGGTTCAGGGTCACTACCATTTGAAGACTTGTTTCTTACTGTAGCACCTCATTATACCTGATAGGAGCCTCACTGTCTGAGCCCAGGCTGCTATGTGTTCTCATGGGATTTTTCCCTTTGCTTCAGGTGAAGCCACAAACACTGCACCTAAATCTCCTGAGTGACTGTACTTACTACGAAGAAAAGAGGAGGCTCATTAGGAATGTGGATGAAATATTCACCAGTAACTGCACCTATCTGGAGTCTCTAGGGTCACAGGGATATGCTCTGTTTCTATCCAGAAGATCTTGTGCTCACCTAATGGGAGAAGGTTGATGGATTCATAAATGTGCTATGGTGCAAAACTCACATCTAGTCAATAGCACTGCAATAGTTATTTCAGATACAATAGATCATCTATTGCACATCTTGATGTAACCTGGTTGGGTAATTCCCACAATCATACTCCAGTGGGAAAGGACACAGAATCAGAAGTGGAGACGGGGAGGAGACCCATGAGTAGCCCCAAGGGAGGCCGTGGCTGGGGCCTGGCAAGCCCAGGAAGGACGTTCCCATCTATGCCCAGAACTCACCTGGTCCTGGGGGACCAAAAGTCACACAGCAAAGGAGCCAGTCCTCATGGTGGAGCCAGGGCAGGAACAACAACAAAAAAGGCTTTTCAGATCAAGACCTTCATTTTGCAAGGGAGGGCACATAGATTTCCAGAGCTTTAAGGATCATTCCCTGAATCAGGTGTGATCTACCAAGAATGTCAGTGCTCTCAACAACACTCTATCTTCTCTGGGGAGATAAGCACCTATCAGGTAAATATATCCTTCTACTTTTAAGTTAATTTATTATTTAGTATAATAAATTATAATAATTACATGTTAAAATTGTCTACCTCAACTTGAAGCTTTGTCTGTTTTTTGCACTGGTGTTTCCCCAGTACCTGGACAGTACCTATGTAGTTAACATAAAGCCAATGAAGAATAACCTCAGGGCATCTCCCTTGCACAGATCTTTACAACACTTTGCAATTTTGCATTCTCTTTTGCAAAGAGCTACCTAAAATATATCAGCTTTGTGCCCCACAAAACTTGAATCTACTCTTCACCTATAACCCATTAAATGTTTGTTGACTGAATGAAGAAAGGAATGAATGATTATCTGAGTCCAGGCAGATTTTACTGCTGTAAACAGAATCCAAGTTCATTCAGTTCAAAATAGGTTCAAAGTTTTAAGGGAGCAGAGAGCCATCCTGAGAATGCTGGGAATGTCTGATGAATCCAAATGAACCTGGAAAAGATTAGTTTATATACATCATCGTAAGACTTTTTAAACGAATCAGTAACCATATGTATAAAAGAAAAACAGTGGTCTCCTTCAAAAGGAAGGGTCTTTGGATGGTTGCTTCATTCCATCACTGCCACAGATCAGGCCGTCTCTGAAGACAAAGTCTGTGACAGGGAGGCTTGGGTGCATGTAGCTTATTTGGGAAATGATTCCAAGAAAAAGTAAGAGAGCAGGAAAACAAAATAAGGAATGAATAAACCAGGACAAAAGACCAATATTGTGTTGTGCTGGGGCAAGAGGAGATGGAATCCATTGGGACCTCCAAGAGCACACAAGATGCTCTCTGGAGTTCCTGCATGAGTGGGCAGGTTGGAGCTTTTGTTCCCCTGTCCAGTTCCACCAGGAGCATCAGGATCTCTGGCTGTCTTTGAGTACAGCCCAAGTGGTCTCAGATAATATCAGAGAAAGCCCCAGAGTAGGAAGCAGCAACATTTCAAGGAGGCACTGTGGAGGGGCACTGTCAGCAAGAGGTGAAATGGGAACATGGCAGCAAGGCTGAAATCAGAGATGGGAGGAGAGGATGTGATGGAAGCACTAGAGGCTTCTCTATGGTGTTCTTTCCAATAAGGCTGTGCCTTCTTCTATAAGCTCTCTTGCGTGATGGCCAATCACAGTGAAGCCGTATCTTTCTGGGAGCACCACACCTTCATGCATGTCGGACTCAGTTATCAAGCAGGAAGTTCATAAGGGGTAACATTGTCATATTTCCTTAATTGGCGATTCTTTATCTTAATTTTACCTAATGAACTATCAGACTACCATATTTGACTTTTAGATGACTGTGTCTGAAACGTAGTTGAATCAGGCAAAAGTAATATGTGTCTGCCTTTGTTACCAGAATTTCACAGAGTAAGTAACTGCTAGATTGGAGATTTGGCAGAGAATGTATAGGGTCCTAAGATTTCTTGAACCTACACTTTATATGACTCTTTTTAAACTTACCTCTCTAAAATCTCTGCAAGACTGGCCAACATGGTAAAACACCATCTCTACTAAAAATACAAACTTTAGCTGGGCATGGTGGTATGCACCTGTAGTCCCTGCTCTCAGGAGCTTGAGGCAGGAGGATTGCTTGAACTCAGGAGGTGGAGGTGGCAGTGAGCCAAGATCGCACCATTGCACTCCAGCCTGGGTGACAGAGCGAGACTCTGTTTCAAAAAAAAATATTAACTAATGCATAACAATTTTTCATGTACTTTCCCTGACAGTAGATTGCATCAGGCACAGGAAGACTACACTTCCCATAAAAACCATTTAACGCTCTTTGTTGTGAACCTAGGAAAGCTCCCTCCTCATACAGTCTCCATAAAAGAGATCACACAGCCTTGCCCATAGGATGGCTACAGTGCAGAAAACTGCTCCCCCGCCTTTTAAAATCACAATAAAGAATAAATGGATATGTTTTGCCTGGGAATCACGTGTTCATTGGACTTGTCAGGGGAGAAGTTATAATGCTCACAGCATAATGCATGACCTTCATATTCTGCTCATGGGGACATGAAAGGGGACACCAGGCCAAAGGACAGATCTAAGGAGTGTGGGGGGACAGTGCAGAGGTATGGAAAGAGCAGACTTTAGCTAGCTATTAAATATGAGCCCCAGGACATCTGCTGTTCCTCAGATATGTAAACAGGTAAAATAATACTTAACTTACACAGTTTCCATGAGCATTAAACCAGGGCATGTACAGAAGCTCCAGAGAGTGTCTGGGAAAGGCATATCCACTCTCCAGGGCCTGAGCCCCTCTGGCTGGCAGCACTCCCCTCACTGTCACTTCCTGAGTGGGACAGGAATGTTATTGCACAGAAGGCCAATGCTCACGCAGGGCTGTGCTATGCTGCTGGCACAGAAATACAAAGCAGAGTCCCCCAGCTCCAAAGAACTCAGGTTTAATTCAGAGCTCATGTTAGGGAACTGTTGTCCTGAGAATCCTTCAGGAATGTTTCCTTTTTCTCTCTCATTCCCATTATAATACTGAATGAGGAACTGGAGGCTCTGGTCCAGGCTCTGTCGGTACCAGTACACAGAGAGGTCTCCAGACCTAGGGGAGCATCTCAGTGCCACTCGCTGTCCAATTGCTGTGAGCAGGTGCTTTGGGGTTTGTGTGACTCCAGAATCCACTGGGCCTGTGTGTCGGAAGATAGAAGTTAAGCGTAAGGCACAGAAGAAAGCCATCATCGGCCCGTGTGCGTTTCAGGGATAGGAAATGGAAATCAGAGACTTTCAAGGTGTGCCCAGGACTCACCTGCTCCCAGGAGACAAAAGGCCACACAGCAGAGGAGCCTGAAGCCCATGGCAGCATCTCCTCGCTCGAGGCTGGGGTTTCTGTAGTAAGCCTTCTGCAGTTCCCACGCTCTCTTCTTCCTGAAAGGAGCATTGGCCCGTGACGTCACCGCACTGACGTACTCCCCCCCCCCCCGCCCCCGCAGGCCACTCCACCCACTGCACTCTTTTGTCAGATCTCAGGTTCTGCTACTCCATGTACTGTAATTCCAGTACTGCACAGCCCTGAAACTCAAGGTGAGGAGGATCGAACACAGTCTCCACATGCCCACATCACACCTTACTTCCCTCTGCCCACCCTGTCCCTGCCCCGACACTGACTCCCAGCCCTTGCCACCCCAGCCGCTTCACCCTGCAGAGGCAGAGACACTCTCTACTTGGTGCAAACTGAGGACTCTGGTGCCCCTACCCTTCCAAGGCAATGAGAGTTCGTGCTGAACTCACATGTCCAGGCCCCACTCAGGGGACTCCCTCCACCCCGCTGATGCCAGCAGGCAGCCCAGCCTCCCCTTCAGCTCCCCCCGTCCTGGCACTCTCCCACCCCTCCTTTGAGTTCTCCGCAGCACTGCGGAGCCACAGCGCCTCCAAGTGGCCAACGGTCTACAGTCTCATGGATTCATACCTTCTGATCTGAGATGTTCAAATTGTCCAAATCAGGAACACAGATGCCCCCACTCCTGCAACCCCCAACCCTCTTACACGCCCTCTCCATGCATTCCCAGAAACGTCAATTTAGGGTTGAGTTTCAAATCCACCCTTGGTCAATAGAGGCAAAGGACACATGCACCAACATTTTGATTACAAAGTAAATAATTGTTACATAATTGCAAATAATACGTTAAGATGGTAGAGGGCAGCCAGAATTATAAAGGCCATACAGTTAGACAGTGTGATGATATCAAGCAGACGCAGCCTGGAAACCTTATATTCCACAGCTCCTCCCAGTTAATTACACCTATCTGTTTTCATATTTTGTATTTAGATTCATTATTACTAAATTTTAGATAGTGCATTTTATAAAAGGTTTCTAGATTTTAGAAATTTACTTCTAAATTGTTAAAAATCTGAAATGAATAACACTGCCAGCTATAATTCAGGCAGAGTCAGTTGGTTCTCACATTTGCTACCACTACACAGAAGCGACTTTGATCTCTAACCAAGAAATAGTTAGTGGTCAACAATATCCCTCATAATAATAACAGTAATAATATTCCAGGACTCTATGTAAGCAGGAATTGACATGTATTTCACAACATCAAAGAATATTTATTATATACTTAATTAACACTTGGTTTTTCCAATAAAAATAATAAAGATGGTGATCTAGTACAATGCTGGGGAATGCCATGGTAAGGAGAGAAGAGGAAAGCAGGTGTGAGCGATCCTTGACAGATGAGCCGGGTCTGGCTGTTTCTTGGGAGAAAGAAGGTCCTTCCAGACCATGGAAACACTGAGCACAAATGCAGACAATGTGAAGACTGCCGTTTTAGGAAATAATCAAAGAGGTGTTTGGTCACAGAAGGTAATGGGATCTGGGCGGTGAGTGTCAGAAAGAGATACCATGGAAGTGGAATTTATCTTTGGGGAAATGGGAGCCTTTATCTGTTTATCATCAGCAGTAAAATGACCTCCTGTGTTTTGAAAATTGAGGCTGAAGTCCAGAAGGAAGACACGGGGACCAACTCCAGGGCCTTCCCACCGGGCAACTGGCTCTGCAGTGATGACCATCCTAGGCTGGACCCGGGATGATGCCAGTTACTACCAGGCCTTGCAGCACATTTTCTAGCTATTAAAAACTTTGAGCCGGGAGCGGTGGCTCAAGCCTGTAATCCCAGCACTTTGGGAGGCCGAGGCGGGTGGATCACGAGGTCAAGAGATCGAGACCAACCTGGTCAACATGGTGAAACCCCGTCTCTACTAAAAATACAAAAAATTAGCTGGGCATGGTGGTATGTGCCTGTAATCCCAGCTACTCAGGAGGCTAAGGCAGGAGAATTGCCTGAACCCAGGAGGCGGAGGTTGCGGTGAGCCGAGATCGCGCCATTGCACTCCAGCCTGGGTAACAAGAGCGAAACTCCATCTCAAAAAAAAAAAAAAGAAAAGAAAAAGAAAACATTGACAGGTTATGTTGCAGTGAACACAATTTGCTTTATCATCTGGTAGCTCTACCTCTATTTTTTAATAATCTTTAATCATGTTCTCTCTCCTCAAAATTCCCCAAATTTCAATTTCTTCTCTTTTAATTACATAAAGCAAGCCCTTGAGATTTTACCTTCTATATTACACATCTGTCCAACAATCCCGATACAAAAATAAACTTCTTTTTCTAAAAAGCAGAGTGCCAGCTACTCTATGACTGTAGTGTGCAGCATCCAGCAAAGAAGGTGATTTGCCATGAACCTCCAGAAGCAGCAGCATCCTCTGAGCAGGTCCTCCTGATCTTGCTTTCCCCAGCCTTGTTCAGACTCCTGAAATTGTTTTTCTTTCCCCCTGAAGGCCCCAGTTTCTCACAGCTGTCTGATCCGAGATTGCCATATACTGAAGCAGAGAGGTTAGCGCACAGAGTTAAAGGGACTCTGCAGGGCTGTGCCAAGCTGCTGGCACAGAGATACAGGGCTGAGTCTCCCAGCTCCAAGGTGCTTATGTTCATCTCAGAGTGATAGTCAGAGAACTGGTACCCTGAGAATCGACCAGGGAAGTTTCCTTCTGATCTCTTGAACTCATTAACATATTCAAAGATAAACTGAGGCCCCTGACCTGGGGCCTGTTGGTACCAGGACACACTGGTGTGCCCAGAGATAGGAGAGCATCTCAGAGTCACTTGCTGTCCTCTTGTTTGGATCAGGTGCATGGGACTTCGGGTGACTTTAGCCTGCATTGGGCCTGTGGGAAAAGCAGATGGAGGATGAGCACAGGAGACAGCCTGGTGGTACCTCCTCCCCAAGGTTAAGTGGAGGACATGGGGTGGGGGACAAGCTCAGAATGGGGGTGCTGTTCTGTCTGCAAGGACTCACCTGCTCCAAGGAGACAAAGCATTGCCCAGCATAGGAGCCCAGGGTTCATGGCACAGTGAGGCAGGCAGCACTGCACCTGATTCAGGAAGAGCAGAGTGAGTTCTGGGCCTTGATTTTCCTGATGGGAGGGGTATCCTGTGATGTCACTGTCCTGTGTCCTCCCACTACAGGCTTCTGGAGGTCCAGTGCTCCCCACAACCTGAACTTCCTCCCTGTCCTGCAGAGCAGAAGGGCTGGGTAAGGACAGAAGCATCTGTGATGAGACAGTTGCTCCTCTGTCTACACTGCCCCAGCTCCCAGGCTGCCCCACCACACTCTCACCCTCCTCCACCTAGTGCTGCGGTGCTCCATGCTGGAGCTCACACACCTGCCCATCAGCAGAGGAGCCTGTGACTAAACCCTGTTCCAGCTCTTCCTGGCTGTCCTAAGATCATCTCTCTGATGCTAGATTCAACCAAATTTTCCAGTTCTAATTTTATTTTTGTCCCCAGAAAACATTACCAACCCTGAGTGGGCAGGTGTGCAGATTCCCCAAGATTTAGTCCATCTGATCAGACTCAAAGAGCACCTGGGTTGCCTGTAAATTATTAAGAGTACAGATTCCACAGAAATAATACTAGGGCTTTATCGGCTCACAGAACAGACCTAGCCAGCCAGTTTGGGATTCGGCACCCTTAAGGCCATCTTATGTGTAGTGCTCTGGGTAATTTCTGTTAATGTATCCAGATCTATCCTGCCTTCAGAGGCTGACCCCAGTGTTCTATGTTAACTGGCTCACTTCTTCTCTAACTCCAGGGTGAGTTTGGCTAATGGGAGACAATGGCAGGAGAGCAGAGGGAGGTAGGGTCACCACTTGTCCTGATTTGTCTATGCCCTGGCTCTTTCTTGCTGCATTGTTTTATATTGGTTACTTTCCCTACCAAAGGCCATAGCACCTTATAGTTGGCCTTGGCCCAAAGCTACAGTACCAGATGCTTTGGGAGCCACAACCTCTCCTACTTATTTCAGGCCAATGTGAGTAAGAACAACAGATTCTGCTACTCCTAGGCTACTTCAGCTTCTCTTATTGGGTTCCCTTAACCCTGCCACACCTTTGCAAATACTCCTTTTATCCTTCCTTGATATCTCCAGGACTATGACTAATAGACACAGCAATGGAAAAGTGAGTATGGGATATTTTATTTTGCCTTAAGAGAACATTCTGTCATTAGAAGTAATTAAATTTCAGGCCGGGCGCGGTGGCTCACGCCTATAATCCCAGCACTTTGGGAGGCCGAGGTGGATGGATCACGAGGTCAAGAGATCGAGACCATCCTGGTCAACGAGGTGAAACCCCATCTCTACTAAACATACAAAAAATTAGCTGGGCATGGTGGTGCACGCCTGTAATCCCAGCTACTCGGGAGGCTGAGGCAGGAGAATTGCTTGAACCCAGAAGGTGGAGGTTGCGGTGAGCCGAGATTGTGCCATTGCTCTCCAGTCTGGGTAACAACAGTGAAACTCTATCCCAAAAAAAAAAAAGAATAAAATTTCTAACAAATGTCCTGCAATGAGCATTGCTAAAAGAGTCAGGAGAACCATGAGAAATACGCATATGAAAGTAAATCATGTGACAGGGGACATAGAATCCAAAGAGATTCCAGCAGAGAATCATGGTGCATGCTCACCTTCTCTGACCTATCCGCATAAAAGATGGGAGTCATATACAAACAGATGCTTGTATTCTGTACAGTCCAATCTAGAAATGTATCACATAAGAATAAGACAGGAACACACTATGACCACATAAAATATGGAGAAGGTGAGACATGCTTTTTGCTGAGATATACAACAAATTTAGCATGAAAATGAGCTGGACAGATAAGGGGCTAAGACATAACTGAGAATAGCTGGCTGAAAGAAAGCTACAGAGAAAGAAAAAAATTCTCACTTGCGGTTGAAGTCATACCAAGAACCACGAGTTGCTATAAATTTAATAATTTGAGAAATTGGGCATTCATCAATCTCAGCCATTAGCCTTTCATTTTGGCTTTCAGCAGATTGGCCAGTTGGTGAATTGATTTTTGTGTGTGTGTGTGCCAAGCAAGCAGCCTGCTCCCCTTTTTCTGAGTGGAGTCCTGGGTGACTCAGCATCCCCCCTTGGCAGCCTCATAGGGTGACATTGGGCACAGAAGAGAAACATGGGGTTCTCTGCACATGGGGTTTGCAACTTCCCATGGAGCCCGGCATGGACCTCCCAGTCCTTCAGTTAATGGATCCCAACCTAGGAAGTCTTGCGCCGGGACATGGGCTTCTCCCTCTTGGTGCTAAAGAGGATGACAGGCTAAAGGAAAATAAAATGTGTGGTCTATATTATTTTATAACATTTTACAAGAAAAACAATATAAGGATTTCATGGATTTTAATCCAAGCCACAGTGATGGTAAGAATTAAGTTTCTTCCTTGATCTATCCTCAGAGGAACTTAAACAGGTACTTGGTAAGAGACTCGTAACCTCTTTTTGATAATTCTACTAGCCCATTATCTTCAGGTCTAATGGCAGAGTTTGTTGCATCTATTAACACTCTCCCTTAGTGGATTGTTCACTTGTGTGTTTTATAACTTTATAACAAACAAAAAATCAGATTTTCTTGTCCCCCAGAGAACACATGCTTGGTGTAGCAAGGATCCAAAGCCAAAGTGATGTTACGTGTGCTGTGTGAGAATCCCAGATCACTCAGGCAGGCGCAAGCTTCCCAGATGCTTTCTGCTGTTTTCTTCTCCCTTGAAAAGAAAGTGAAATATGAATTTAATGTTGGAAGCTACCATTCCTTTGCACGATTACCAGAATGTCAAATTGAGCAAAATGCCGTTATGTTGTTTGTATTTACACATCCACACTGCACTGAGAGACCTCAGCTCACTCGATTTTATGCTGCAGGAGTCCACATAGAATGAGATCCCACTACTGGGAAGTCTGGGAACAGCTTCCAAAAGGGCAAGTTTTTCTTCAGTTGAGACAGGACTGCCCACCTCCAGCCTGTGGCTGCCCATTTTGTGCAGAGAGCAGCTGGCTGCGGATGGGCTGCCACAATGGTACAGAGAGGTCTGGCTAGTGCTCGTGGATGCCAGCGTTGGGGGAAATGCTCAAGCTTGTTTCAAGAGACACTGTACCCTTTGGCAACATCAACTTTGGTCCTGCTGCCACCACTACCTGAATAATGGGTCAGCTTCAGCCCCTGTCTTGGGTCTTGTCGGTATCAGAACACTGAATAACGGTTCCTAACCTGAACACATCCCAGGACCGTCTCTTTTCTTGTCTGCATAATGTGGTGTCTTGGTGTCTGGGTAATCCCACAAAGCCTGCTGGAGACAGAAATTTTGTTTTTCTTGTAAAATATTATAACATAATATGGAACACACATTTTATTTTTCTTTAACCTGTCATCCACTTTAGCATCCACAGGGAGAAGCCCATGTCCCGGTGCAAGACTTCTTACATTGGGATCCATTAGCTGAAGATTGTGGAAGAGCAGAGGAGTGATGTGAGATGAGGATGAGGATGCCCTGGTGCAAATACTATCATAAGGAAGACAAGACTTGAGAAGCACGGGGACTCTGCAGAGGAAAGAGGAAAAAAGGCTTGGACCCCGATGTTGTAAACCCATGACAGGGTTTTGAAGCTGTTTTCAGAACTCATCTGCTCCCAGGAGACAAAGGGTCACGCAGAAGAGTTTGGGATTCATGGCAGGGTCACAGTGAGGAGGGGTTCTCTAAGCTAAGTGCTGTGATTGTCAGAACTGTTTACCTGGGGCTCAGAGGCTGCTCTCTAGGGAACCGTCTGGTGGGCCTGTGGTGTCACCCCGCATCCCCTACAGAATCCACCTGCTCCAGGTCCTTCTGACTGGGCTCAGGCTGAATGGACCTCCTCTTGTGAAGGCTGTTGCCTGGCGAGGCCTGCAGGGAAGATGGGGTGCAGAAGACACTCACTGGGCTTAGGGCACAGCCTGCGCCCCACTTTCCCATGTTCCTTTGAGGCAGGTGCTCCTCTGTCTGCACCTGCTCCTGGCGCCAAGGCTGCCTGGTCAAACTTTGAACTGTGGATCTCATTCAAGATTAGAGGTATTTCCTGCATCCTGCATAGCTGTGGGTAGTCTAGCACTAACAGAAAACTGCTGCAACATCTGCATAATATTGGATCCAAGCCCTAATTTTTCTTAACCCTTTCCCTCCTAGGCTGCTCTCCCAGACCTTCTCCAGAGCCAACTTAGATCCCAGGGGACCACAGTGCCATCCTGTGGCCAATAAGTGAAGTTTCATCACTGCTTCTGCAATGGCCCAAGGATGCTGGGAAATGTCTGCAGAGTGAGCTGGGAGACTATTCCAGAAACGCCACCCTGCAGGTTTTAAACCCCCTTCCCAACACTAGTTCTAACTCTATTACTTTGAGTTATCCAGCCTAATATCCCACTCTCATTCTAAATAACTCTTATCACATACCTGCAGTTTAAGTCTGATTGATATTTTCTTCCTTAAAACTATCATATAAAGGGAGCAGGATAGAATGGGATGAATGGAAGAAAACTGGATTTATCCCGAAGTAGGAAGAACATACAGAAATTTAAGGGCATAGTTATTTCATTTCCATTACCAAAGATGAAATACATGTCCCCCCAAATAACAATTAATGTTACCATAAAAATAAAGATTAGCAAAAATTGGGGTGATAATGCGATTGCCTTCAAGACAGTGTCAAATACATATTAATGAAAAGTAAAATTTGAATGTAAACAGTAGGATTCCTTGTACACAACAAGTAAACATGAAGGGAGCAGTATCCAATGTGGAAAATAAGGATGGATAATTAAGACCAGGAAAGGACCTTCCACAGAAAATGATTAACATGTACAACGCACATCTGCTGATCTGAGCAGCAGACGTGGAACCAATGATTCTGGAAGAGCAGAGGAGTGATGTGAGATGAGGATGAGGATGCCCTGGTGCAAAATACTGTCATAAGGAAGCAAGGAGAGAGAGAGCAGGAGGTTTGCGAGAAGGAAGGAGGCGATTGTGTCACGCTGTGGCTAAGCTGCTGGCACAGAGATACACGGCTGAGTCTGCCTGCTCTGTGCGCTGGATCTGCAGAGTGGAGGCGGATCCCCTAGACCTCTCTGCAGAGAACCGATCACTGGGCAGCCCCGAGTCGTCTGCTATATCCTTGCCTTGGAAGTAAATTAGAAACTCTGGGCCCTGCCCCAGGCTCTGTCGGTACCAATAAAGGGCCGTATGACCTGAAATTGGATCACACCTGAGAGCTACATCGTTTCCCTTCTCTATGACCTTGTTACTGGGGGACTGGGAGACTCCAGCATCTGTGTGATCTGTGGAGACAAAAGTTGAGAACAGAATGAGGAAAACAATTATAGTCAACACACACACACACACACACACACACACACACACACACCCACACACACACGGAAACTGCTTGTTGTTCTGAGGACTCACCTGTCTGCAGGAGACACAGAGCCGCCCAGCAGAGGAGCCTGGTGCCCATGGCAGAGTCAGAGGGTCAGGGCAGGGTAGGAACGTTACCCGATCAGGGTCACAGGCAGAAGCAGAGGAGGAGAGACGTCCTCGGTCCTCGTCCCAACGCAGAACAGTTCCCGCAGTGACATCACTTCCTGTCTCAATCGCTACAATCTTAGGAACGCAGGATTTATATTAGAACGCATTTGAATGACTGCTTTAGATATTTATTAGCTCCTTTTAAACAACATCAACGCATCTTTTGTGTCTTCATTTTGTGCTCCCGAGCTGTCTGGACCCAGAGGCCTCACTCTGCATCTCTGAGTTGATCTTCTCATCCCACAGCCACTCCTCTGTCTTCTGGGCATGTTCTCTAGGATGTGCCAACAGCGGTCCCAACACAGGGCACCAAAGGGTGAGCTCATTGTCTTTCCTGCAAGTCAGGGTCCCCAGTGCCATCCCCATTCATGCCCCAGCCTCCCCCATTCCTCCAGTCACAGGTGCCCAACAGGATTGTCCCATCACCATGGGTCCCCTCACAAGCTGTAGCTCATCCCCCTCTTCTAGGACCACTCCCCTCTTTGTTGACTATAATTCAGAAAAGATACCTTGTTGGCAAACTCATAGTCCTTTTTTTTTTCTTTTTCCACCAGTAAATATATTTTTCTCCATCTCAGTATCTAATGAATGGGAATTATAATTCTGACTAAATGGTTATTTTTGATCCTTTCTTGACATTCATTGTTCCTTTCGGTCTATTCCACAAGGAGAGATTGATCTTTTCTTCTTGACTGCTGTTAGAATCATCTGTCGCTTGTGTTCCTCAATCTCATTATAATATAAACATTCATCTTATTTCATATTCATTTGAATTCTTGAAACTGAGGATTTAGGTCCTGAAACATCTCTGAAAAATTCTCAGCTAACGTCTCATCACAATCACTTACTCTCTCTACTTTCTCTTTTTGAAACTTCAATTATGTGTAAGAAAAATGGGAAATTCCAATTAAAAATGACATATTCTACTATGCTGGAAACCACAGGTTTTTGACTCCTCATGCCTTAAGCTCTCTCTAAGGTTACATATTTAATTTTCGGTGCTGGGGTCTACGTAACTTCTTCAGCTCTGTCCTTGACATCACTAATAATCCCTTAGAAGCGTTTCATCTTTTCTTCATTTCCATTTTGTTTACAGTGATAATCTTAATCATTTCTGTATTGCATTTGATTATGTTTTAATGTTACCTTGATGGTTTCTGACAGTCTCTTTTTTCTTGCTCACATTTCAATTCCCTTTAAATATATTCTACAAACTTTCCTATCTTTTAATGGTAAAAATTTATTGTCTCCATACACTTCAGTTGCTTATTGTTTCTGCTTACTTCTCTTCATTGGTTTGCATTTTAATAGTCTTAGTAGTAGAAACATATTTATCTGACATTAAGCTGTGGAGTTCAAGAGAGGCCTGCATTGAGAGTAAAAAGAGCTTCAACACTCCACAGCTTTTCCAGCTGTCTCCAGTCCTGTTGCCAGATTCATGGGGCCAAGAACTGTCTGTTGCACCCTGGGTTGCTAAACACTCTCACGGTTTAGGTTCCTGGGGAACATGCTCTCAGGACAGCCACAGCGGACCTTCTAGAACACAATTCTGATTTTCTGTCACTTTTCCATGATACCTTCTCCTTAAACTGCTGTTCCCATCCTGTCCATTCAAGGGAAAATAATGTAAGTACATTTAAAAAAAAAAAAATTCTAAATCTACAGATGCGCCCTCTTGTTTATTTTTGTTGTTTCTAACCCAAAACTTTAAAAATACCTTAGACATTAGAATTATATAGAGACAGTTTACCCTCATTCAGCTTGAAGAACACATCATATTTTAAATTGGATATTCCCAGACTGACAAACTGGCTTACACAGCGCATGGTCCTTTGCTTGTTCAACAAGTGAGTGCTCTTTGATGACCTCATAGCAGAACGTCTCAGGCACAGTTAATTCTAGATCTCTGCCAGGGTACAATGAATCTAGGGTGTTTCTGTTATTGGTTCATCCACCCACTCATCACTTACTCACCTGTCACTCACTCACCCATTCTCTGTGAAATGAATGAGAACTCCCTACCTGCCAGGCACTGCTGGTGGTGAATGTAACAAGCTCGGCCTTCACCTTCACGGAGTTTAAAATTGAGTGGAGCACAAAAGGAATAAGACAAGTGTCAGAAAAATTGCAAGTGTGCTAAACTTTACTAATGGCACATGACTCAATAAGAGCTTATGAGAGAGAAATTGAAATTTGACCTCAGCTGAGAGATGAGGGATTGCTTCCAGTAGGAGGGGCTGATCATGCTGAGATCAGAAGCACTGGCAGGAGTTGGCCACTGGAGAAAGAAACGCACCAGCCCAGGGCAGAGAAAATGACCTTTGAGGTCTCTGTGATGGAAAGGAAAGAGGCACAGAAGAGGCAGCCTCATGGCTGCAATAGAGAGGGGGGGGAGGCAGTGTGGAGAGGCCCAGTGAGGCCTTTGGGGGTGACTGCCCAGATGGGAAAGGTGGGCCACAGGTAAGACCATGTGAAAGTGGGGACTGGGGGAAACGCTGAAGAGAGGAAGCTACGTGGTCCCCAGAGAGAGACGGGATTCTAGACAGATCTGAAATTCCAATCTTGTTCCATCCTGGGGGCCTCAGACTCAGGATGATGAGTAGTAAAGTAAGAGCTTGGGAAGCCCTGGTCCCATCCCAAAAAGATAGCCTGGAGGAAAGACCAGAGAGCAAAAAAAAGAAACATCTGAGGTCCTGTGACCAGTCCAGGCCTAGCTGGAACTGCCTGCAGAGGCACCTGGCACAGACTGAAGTTCACACTGCCAGGGCCCATTGGGCTTCCAAGATTCCCAGTGCCGAGAACTCTGCCAAGGACTTGGCTGATTCTGGGGTTGGGGAGGAGGGCAGAGCCTCCCCTGTCTTTATATTCGGAGAGGAGATGGCTGTGCAGTTCTGTGGAGTCACTGCTGGCACAGAAGTACACTAATGTCTGAGAGGGTACAGCCGACTCCAGCATGAGGGAGAAATCATCAGTGTTTGATCTGGAGATGCTGTAACCATCAGGGACTCCTCCTTTGCCAGTGCTACCCACTGTATTTGAGTAAAAGATGAGCCTTAGCCCCAATCCTAGATCTTGTCTATATCAGTACATGGCATTATGTCTCATATCCTGGGTACATCTCAGTGTCACTCTCCATCCTGCTGCCAGGATCTGAGATTTTGGAACCTGGGTAATGCCAGCAATCACTGGACCTGCAGAAGGAGAACAAAGCCGATGCTGCAGCCCCAATGGGAAGGCCCTGGGCCTTGAAATCCACTCAGGAGCCCTGCCCAGGACCCACCTGCCCACAGGAGCAAAAGGTTGCACAGCACAGGAGGCTGATGCTCACGGCAGGTGCGGCAGGAGGGAGGAGTCTTCTGGGTCTGTGTGTTGATGAATGGGGAACAGGGCTCTCAAGGGAGTCATTCTGAGACCTCATTCTCCCTGCCTGGGCCCCAGAGCCTTCCGGTCGAGAGAGGCCATGCCTCTTCCCCAGAGGGTCAAATCCAAAATAAATGCACCAGTGAAATTTTGATGGGAAGAATGTTTCTTGATATACACCTTACAAGTTTTGCTTGACCTTTATGCAAAGTTTGTAATTCAATGTAAATTTTATTCCTGTGATAATATAATTCCTCATTAATATTCTGGTGTTTGTTATCTATGTATTGCTGTAGTCTAGAATCTCAGGAAAAATCCTCATGTCTTCCTGGTGTTTTTGACTCCTGTGTCCCAAATACTCCTTCAAGTATCCTTTTCTAATTTGCTTAATTGACCACAATCCTGTTGAAGTCCTGTGCCTATCTTGGTTTTCTCTGTCATCAGGTCTCCAAATCCCAGGGGCAGGCTCATCAGCATTGGAGGCGTCGTTTTGCTCTGTTTCTTGTCAATTCACTACAGATGGGACTCCCAACAAGCTCATTTGAGCACCTTCAGCTTCACCCAGGGCTCTTGCTTTCTGTCTCCAGGGTGAGACTGCAGTAAGCAGAACCACCTCACACTGGTGAATGCCCTCTCTGTGTGGACGATGGTGGCCGCCCAGAGTTGCTGGAGACACTGTGGGCACAAAGGTGTCCTGATGAGTGAGGACCTTGGGGAGAGGGAGCAGACTTCAGGGTAAGGAAGAATCTCTGGTTTTATTTGCAGCGTCATGTTTCTTAGGGAATGTATACCTTCGTGCAGGATTCCTGCCATTAATTTAGTAACAAATGAAAAGGAACTCAAAAACTGTATCTTTGGTGCACAGAGCCCCGCATTTGGAAGGACCCCACACTTGGTTTATCACTCTACTGTCGTGATTCTTTAAATTCTTAACAGTGTTTGAGCAAAAGGACCTGCCAGCAAGTCATGTCCCTGGTTGTAAATACACCATCTTGTGTCATATTCTGCTCGCCTCCCCCTGTGCTGTTTCCTTTCAGCACAGCATGTGACCAGGGTCTGTCTGGTCATTCAGCATCTTTGGGGCTTAGTAGTGAAGGACACAGAAATTAAAGTCACAGCTAAGAGCCACCTGGTGCAGAAAGTCACAGCTGAGATCCAACAAGCCCATGAGTGGGTTTCATGTCTATGCCCAGGACTCCTGTGGTTCAAGAGACAGAAACACACAACTCAGGATCCTGTTCCTGGTGCCAGGACAGGGCAGAGCAGGGAGATACATTCTAGATGAAGACTTATGGATTAAACACTTGGGGTTAAGGCAAAGAGACCCCTTCCCCCAATGTGACCTCATCTCTCAGCAAAGTCACTATTACCACGGTTTGCTCCACCCCAGCGTTCTCAGTGTGTGAACACAAAACCAGCTGCATGTGTGTCCTATGGGAACTCAGAATAATTTCCTTGGAGATTATTAACTTTTATCAGGATATCATTATTAAATACTTTGAGTTAATAAGTGTGTAAGAAAGGAAATGAATTAAAATAAATAAATAAACTTTGTAGAATCAGCTTCTACCAGCTGAAAAGACCTTTTGAGGTTATTTCGGCACAACAACCATCTCCAAATAGAATTGTCCCCACCATGGATCATGGTAGCTCTCATGGTTTCAACCCCTCCTAAAACCATAAAACCATCCAGGAACTCCTCCCTGCCTTGATTATTTAGCTATGTATTCAAGAGGATTACTCAGCAGTGGCTTTAAACCAACATTAAAAATATTTGTGAACAAAACTACTCTCCAGTGATAGAAATCACATCATTGGTTTTCTGGGACCAAGATAGGCGTTGCAAAGGTGTGGGTGTTAGAGACTGTCTACATTTTAATAGGGTGGGGATTATAAGGGCATATACATACATCTTGCTCAAAAATCACTGAGCTGTTCATTTAAAATATATAACGTTTACATTGATTGTATAATTCATATATCAATAACATTGATTTTAAAATGTCTCAAGAGGGATACATACTGCATTTAATTTCATCAAATAAATCATCAGAGGAAGTGTATATTAACATTTCTGTGACTTCTGAATCCTCAACCTAAGATTTCTAGGTATATATCTGGATATGTCTTTGCACATTGGCATGGCGAAAGAGGCTCGCTGAGATCATCAAAGGAAATCAAAATATTATGTTGGTGCAAAAGTATTGCAGTTCTTGCCATTAAAAGTAATGGCAAAAACCGCAATTTGTTTTGCAGTGACCTGATGTCTAGATTTCTGCTACATGCTAATACTTAACTCTATTCAATTTTGTATACAGCCCGGCAGATGGACAGCAGCAGTCTCATTTCATAGATTAAAAAAGAAAAACAGAAAACAAACTAAATCAGATCTGTCAGGAACTGGCCTCAGGTCTTGAGGAGCTGATGTTAGGCTGGAAATCATGGTGCCCATTCATGGTTCTGTCCCTCCACCACTCTCTCCAGGGTAAACTGATCTCTCTCTGTCCATGATGTCATTAGAGTCAGCATGTCTGAAAGGGACATAGGGGACAACATTGGAACTTTTTTGAAGAAAGGCATCATTTGTTATGAAATGGATTCTAGTATATAGCTCTAAATAGAGGGCTTTGCTAAACCAGGGTTAGGGTCTTAGTACGCTCCCTAATTCCTATTTAATTTGGCCAAGTAATTTAAACTATGGGCCAATTCCTCCACCTGTGAAATTAGAGTAGCAGTTGCATGTTAAGATGTTTTCTGATAGTCGAATTTCTAACTAATTGAAATTTTTCTAATGAATGCTTTCTATTTTGTGTTTAATAAAATGACAATAAATGATCAGATTAATATTTTTTCTAAGTCTTCTCCATGAAGCAGAATTGAACTGTGAATGTGCATTACTGTACTTAGTGCTTGCACTTCTGCAAAGGACTCTGCCAGCCATGTGACAGAATGCTTGATAGAAACAGTCAAATATGGCACATTTTATACTTCAGACCTTAAACATGTTATATGCGTGCAATGAAGTATTTTTAAACATTTTAAAAGAAGAAGATCCAGCCATATATGGCAATGTGGATAACCCTGCAGGACATTATGCTAAGTGAATAAGCCAGGCACAGAAAGACAAATACTGCATGATTCTGCTTATATGATGGAACCTAAATAACCAAACTAATAGGAAGCAAAGATGAAGGTTATTTCCAAGGGCTGCGGATTGGTGTGAATGGAGAGTTGCTGTTAATGGGTACGCAGTGTCAGCTAAGCAGGATGAATGAGCTCTAGAGATTGCTGTACAACCCTTTGCCTGTAGATTACAACACTGTATTGCACATACCAAAATGTGTTAAAAAGATAGATTTCATTTTACATATTCCTACTACAATTAAATTTAAAGACTATCTTAAAAAGGACTACTTAAAGACAGAAAAAAAGTCAATTTCTGTAATTTAGAAATCAGTAAATTATTTTAATAAGGAAAACAG